AATGTCAGGGCACAGTGGAATGTGGGGGAGGGGTGCCATGTTATGTTGGGGGTTCCGGGTAATGCCAGGCACAGTGGAATGTGGGGGAGGGGGTGCCATGTTATGTCAGGGCACAGTGGAATGGTGCCATGTTATGTTGGGGGTTCCGGGTAATGCCAGGCACAGTGGAATGTGGGGGAGGGGGTGCCATGTTATGTCAGGGCACAGTGGAATGGTGCCATGTTATGTTGGGGGTTCCGGGTAATGCCAGGCACAGTGGAATGTGGGGGAGGGGGTGCCATGTTATGTCAGGGCACAGTGGAATGGTGCCATGTTATGTTGGGGGTTCCAGGTAATACCGGGGCGCAGTGGAATGTGGGGGGAGGGGGTCCCGGGTAATGCCGGGGTCCCGGATTGCGGCTCTCTCACCTGCACACCCCCCGCACACACGGCTCCAGGCGGACTCGGTAGGCGGCTTCTATATGTAGCCGGGTCACTTCCTCCGGCCGCACGGTGGCTGTCCAATTCCAAGCCGTCTTCTCCAGCTGTAGCCGGGGAGCCATGGCGGGATGACAGGCCGAAGACGGTTTCTCACACGCACCAACCAGCCAGCGTCATGACGTACGGACGGCGCAGCCAATCAGTGGATTGCGCGGGATGCGTAAACTCCGCCCACCCAGAAGTGAAACGTCTGAGCGAGCGCGCCGACGGAAAGGGGAGGTGCCAACACTGAGGGGATTAGGGGCGGGATTATAGTGACTATATATACTGACTGACTGAGCAGATACACATTACACCGACATTATATCCTAAGTGAAATGAATCTGTGGTGATACGGCGGTGTTATGTGGCCTCAGTCACACAGGACTCCCAGGCTGAGGGGATCCAGGTGGCCTCCCTCTGTACCAGGACAGAGCCAGCCTTTCAGTCCTCTCCGGGTTTTCTGGATCATAGTTGGGATTCTGGAGCCGGGAGATTTCTTGGAGCTCTGTGTGGGATGAAATCTCCATTCCCGGGTCCGGCCTTTACCAGTGACCAGCACCCAATGATGGTGCCCCTGTGTACGGCCCTCATGAAGAGGGTGCTGGCTAGTGTTCAGGGCCCCACCTGGGAGTCAGAGTGAAAGCTGCAAGAGAACGATGTTAAAGGACAGGGTCACTGTGAGTGTGCGGGACCACCTGACAATAGATGATGTTATGCTGAAGATGAGATATTGTTGCTGGGGCTGCCTATGTGGAGAATAAGACTGATCCCTGCATGCTGACCATTGAGCTATGGTGCGTGGCGGTCTGAGGCGGGCAGGATGTGTGTGGAGGGTGCAGGACGTGTGTGGCGGTCTGAGGCGGGCAGGACGTGTGGGGTGGTTGGAGGCGGGCAGGACATGTGTGGTGGTTGGAGGCGGGCAGGACATGTGTGGTGGTTGGAGGCGGGCAGGACATGTGTGGTGGTTGGAGGCGGGCAGGACATGTGTGGTGGTTGGAGGCGGGCAGGACATGTGTGGTGGTTGGAGGCGGGCAGGACATGTGTGGTGGTTGGAGGCGGGCAGGACATGTGTGGTGGTTGGAGGCGGGCAGGACATGTGTGGTGGTTGGAGGCGGGCAGGACATGTGTGGTGGTTGGAGGCGGGCAGGACATGTGTGGTGGTTGGAGGCGGGCAGGACATGTGTGGTGGTTGGAGGCGGGCAGGACATGTGTGGTGGTTGGAGGCGGGCAGGACATGTGTGGTGGTTGGAGGCGGGCAGGACATGTGTGGTGGTTGGAGGCGGGCAGGACATGTGTGGTGGTTGGAGGCGGGCAGGACATGTGTGGTGGTTGGAGGCGGGCAGGACATGTGTGGTGGTTGGAGGCGGGCAGGACATGTGTGGTGGTTGGAGGCGGGCAGGACATGTGTGGTGGTTGGAGGCGGGCAGGACATGTGTGGTGGTTGGAGGCGGGCAGGACATGTGTGGTGGTTGGAGGCGGGCAGGACATGTGTGGTGGTTGGAGGCGGGCAGGACATGTGTGGTGGTTGGAGGCGGGCAGGACATGTGTGGTGGTTGGAGGCGGGCAGGACATGTGTGGTGGTTGGAGGCGGGCAGGACATGTGTGGTGGTTGGAGGCGGGCAGGACATGTGTGGTGGTTGGAGGCGGGCAGGACATGTGTGGTGGTTGGAGGCGGGCAGGACATGTGTGGTGGTTGGAGGCGGGCAGGACATGTGTGGTGGTTGGAGGCGGGCAGGACATGTGTGGTGGTTGGAGGCGGGCAGGACATGTGTGGTGGTTGGAGGCGGGCAGGACGTGTGTGGCGGTCTGAGGCGGGCAGGATATTGTTGGTAGCAATGCCAGTCCAGTTGGGTGTGCCATGGAGGTCACTCAGAGGAGTGGGGTAGAGCAAGGACACCTGGAGAGAGGATCCAGGAGAGCCAGCAAGTGTTCAGCAGGAGAATGCTGTCTCCCATAGCAACCGGCAAGGTTGTGTTGCCGGGAGAGAGAGGCTGGGGAGATTCTAGAGAGAGAGTGCCATTTCCCAAAGCAACCCAAGAACAAGTGTCCAGTGGGAGCATGTCATCTCCCATAGTAACCGGGAAGAGAGGAGATGCGGCTCAGCGTCCTGTGCGTCAGTCACTTGATGAAACGTCACGCAGTGCCGTGCGCAGCATGTGGCCGAAGGGGTCATGGGATGGTGGCCTGCCCTGAGCTGTGGGGCACCTCGGGAGGTACTGGTGGGGCATGAGATTGAACCCACCACCCTTGTGTTCTGATGTTAATGTGTCTGCAGTCACCCCTGGCAACACACAGAAAAGTTCTGCCGAGCCTGCAGGGGGCGCTAGAGAGAAGGGGACAATGCTGACACCATCCCCGGTGCTGTGAAGCCTGCCGGGGTCGGTGAGACTTGTGAATGAGTTGTCCGCTGGAGCTGATAGGATTGTGGTCGGAGAGACGGTCTGCAGCCTTGTGTGTGAGCCGGGAGTGACGCCACCTGAGCAAACCACGGAGACTTACACAGTGCATGGAGCAGCGGGGAGGCAAGCCATAAGAATGCTGCAGTAACAAGCTGCTTTCGTGGAACGCATGTGTTGTTGTAAAGCGTCTTGCGGATTGGACCGATGCCAATCATGATGGGCCGTACAATGACGATGCAAATGCAGCAACCCGGATGGGGGGGGGGCAAAGACGTATCCCCAGAAACCTCAGCGGGGCTCACGAGATTGGAGCCGGAGGTTTCCCAGGATAGCTGTGGTGCCGGCCTTTGGGGGTCACGTTGTTGTGGGACCATCGAGTGGCCGCGTTCAGGTGGAATGAACTCCTGGTGATTTTCTGGCTACAAACATGGATAGAACATGACAACCAATGGGAGGGGAGTATGCGGCCATGGATAGAACATGACAACCAATGGGAGGGGAGTATGCTGCCATGGATAGGCACCAGGAAAGGAAAATGACAGGAAATCGCCCGTGGTGCGCGCTCAAAAACGAATCCCCTGTGAACAAAAAAAGTGAACCGTGAAGTCACAGCACACAAAAACGTGCGCAAGGGTGCTTGGTCCGTCAATAAAGAAGGGACCTCGATTCCCGACTGCCCCCGGGGGGGGGCGCAAGGCTCCTGACAGGGGTCGAGACTGTTGGTCCACCAACCCGAAGGCCAATGGACCCCGATCCTTTGGGCACCACAGGTCCCACATAGTACTAGAATCCGTTCAGTAAGAAGGCCATGTACCGGGCCGTTCCCCTCTCACAGGAAGCTGCCCTACGCGCTCTTTCACTCCAGCGAGTACTAAGTAACCATCCCCCGCTAGGACTGTTCTTTTCCCCACCGAAAACTGATAAGAACAGGTACTACACCTGATCGTAGCCAAAAGGCCGAGAAGCGATTACAGGTAAGCGTGATACAATTTTCCGCTTGCCTGGAGCCTACATGGCAGCATACTAGCGATCAATAACGAGCTGACGGTGGGATAGATGGGACAATTTATTGAGATTTGGCAGCAGAAGCTTGAACTGCCTCTTTCTTCTGAAGTCTACGTAGATGAGGCTCCCGGATCCACTCCATAGTGTCGGAGGAAGGGGCGTTGAGAAGACCAGCTTGCTGCCTTACAGATTATGTCTATAGGAACACTGCACAAGGACCCGATGGAATGATCCCTCACCGCAGTGGGAGGATCACGCCCTGTACGCTCTCTAGATTGTCTTTACAATTCATGAGGATAACATTTTGACCTCCTTGACCCTTAAACCTCCCCCCTGGAACAACGAAGAGGTGATTGAAGGAGCTGGTCTGTTCAAGATAGGTCAGGAGTGTTCTGGACACATCCCCTTCCTGTGTGTCTGCTGAGAAAACAAGTAGAACCCATTCCTGGGCTGGGTGAAAGGGTGGTACGACCTTTGGCAAGAGATGAGTCTGCGGTCACAATTCCACCCTGTCTGGGGGGAAAAGAAAGGTTCCTTAGACCCAAGGGCTTGGATCTCTGATACTCTTCCCTGATGTAATGGCCACCAAGAAAATGGCCTTGCAAGTAATGTCCCAAAGAGAACACTGTTCCGTGGGAGCCAATGGTTCTTTTGACTCCATGTTAAGCACCAGCGACAGATCCCACTGAGGGAAGAGTCATCTTCTAGGTGGTCGGAGTCATAACGCTGCTCTTCTAGGCGGTCGGAGCCATAACACTGCTCTTCTAGGCGGTCGGAGTCATAACGCTGCTCTTCTAGGTGGTCAGAGTCATAAAGCTGCTCTTCTAGGTGGTCGGAGTCATAACGCTGCTCTTCTAGGCGGTCGGAGCAATAGCGCTGCTCTTCTAGGCGTTCGGAGTCATAACACTGCTCTTCTATGTGGGCGGAGTCATAACACTGCTCTTCTAGGCGTTCGGAGTCATAACACTGCTCTTCTAGACGGTCGGAGTCATAACACTGCTCTTCTAGGTGGTCAGAGTCATAACGCTGCTCTTCTAGGTGGTCGGAGTCATAACGCTGCTCTTCTAGGCGGTCGGAGTCATAACACTGCTCTTCTAGGTGGTCGGAGTCATAACACTGCTCTTCTAGGCGGTCGGAGTCATAACGCTGCTCTTCTAGGTGGTCGGAGTCATAACGCTGCTCTTCTAGGTGGTCGGAGTCATAACGCTGCTCTTCTAGGTGGTCGGAGTCATAACGCTGCTCTTCTAGGTGGTCGCAGTCATAGCACTGCTCTTCTAGGCGGTCGGAGTCATAACGCTGCTCTTCTAGGCGGTCGCAGTCATAGCACTGCTCTTCTAGGCGTTCGGAGTCATAACACTGATCTTCTAGTCATAACGCTGATCTTCTAGGCGGTCGGAGTCATAGTGCTGCTCTGAGGAACTGAGCATGAAGTGCCAACTTGCTTGGATATGGATGCAGAGTCTTCCCCCTGAGACGAGAGATGTGGAAACGCCGGAAGAGGCAACGGATGGCAAATGCTCAGCTGCATGGCCAGCGGAAACCAAGGTCTGCGTGGCCAGTAGGGGAGAATTGCTAGCACGGTTACCTTCTCCCTGTAGGAACCTCAAAATTAGCTCCATTGGGGGAAAGCGTAGGTTATCTTGATGTTCCAGGGATAGGTCAAGGCACCTGTTCCCAGAGATGTGGGATGAGGCCACCTGGAGATGAATAGAGGCAGTTTCTGGTTACCTGGGCCCACAAAAAGATCTACTTGAAGGAGGCCTCACCTAAAAAGATCTACTTGAAGGAGGCCTCACCTAAAAAGATCTACTTGAAGGAGGCCTCACCTAAAAAGATCTACTTGAAGGAGGCCTCACCTAAAAAGATCTACTTGAAGGAGGCCTCACATACTATTTGGTTGAAGACTCCGGGGTGAAGCGACCATTCGTTGTGGTCCTGAAAAAACTCTCGACAGACGATCTGCCTCCTGATTCTGGAGAGCCGGGAGATTCCCTCAATTCCAACAGATTCTGCTCAGCCCAGGCCGTGATCAATGCTACCTCCTTCAGGAGGGAGAGACTGTGGGGCCTCTGGACATGCTACTGCTGATCTGTTGTCCTTTCTGAGGACCACCGGCTTCCTCCAAAGACTGTCTGACACAACTGTCAAGGCTTTGAAGGCCGCCCTCGACTCCAAAATATTGGACACCATCCCTTCCATGGGGAAACTCCTCCCCTGGATTCTGTCATCGCCACAAGGAGCTTCCCGAGCCTTGGCACCGGCATCTGTTGTGATCACCACCCATGGTGGAGGACCCGGGGACATGACTGAGACAAGGACCTCCACCACCTTCTGAGGAGGAAGAGACATGGAAACCGGTTTGAGTGCTGAACTGTGCTCATAAATATGTCCCGTGTTCGGTGGGTGACATATGACTTTTTATATAGTGAGGTGGTTCCGTGTCTGCAGGCAAACAGCTGCTCAGAATAAATCCCACCGCCTCCTGGATTGGACTGACTGGCTCCTGAATTCCCTAGCCGCTTTTTCCTCCCCCGGATTTACACAGCAACTCTCGGCTGTCATTCTGAAAGATGGAAATTGTTGACGAGGAAGCTGAGGGGAGAATGGTCAGGTCAGCACCTTGGCTGTGTAAATCTCAGGACTGGATGGACAGACATGCAAAACCTCCAGCATCACCTAAAAAGATCTACTTGAAGGAGGCCTCACCTAAAAAGATCTACTTGAAGGAGGCCTCACCTAAAAAGATCTACTTGAAGGAGGCCTCACATACTATTTGGTTGAAGACTCCGGGGTGAAGCGACCATTCGTTGTGGTCCTGAAAAAACTCTCGACAGACGATCTGCCTCCTGATTCTGGAGAGCCGGGAGATTCCCTCAATTCCAACAGATTCTGCTCAGCCCAGGCCGTGATCAATGCTACCTCCTTCAGGAGGGAGAGACTGTGGGGCCTCTGGACATGCTACTGCTGATCTGTTGTCCTTTCTGAGGACCACCGGCTTCCTCCAAAGACTGTCTGACACAACTGTCAAGGCTTTGAAGGCCGCCCTCGACTCCAAAATATTGGACACCATCCCTTCCATGGGGAAACTCCTCCCCTGGATTCTGTCATCGCCACAAGGAGCTTCCCGAGCCTTGGCACCGGCATCTGTTGTGATCACCACCCATGGTGGAGGACCCGGGGACATGACTGAGACAAGGACCTCCACCACCTTCTGAGGAGGAAGAGACATGGAAACCGGTTTGAGTGCTGAACTGTGCTCATAAATATGTCCCGTGTTCGGTGGGTGACATATGACTTTTTATATAGTGAGGTGGTTCCGTGTCTGCAGGCAAACAGCTGCTCAGAATAAATCCCACCGCCTCCTGGATTGGACTGACTGGCTCCTGAATTCCCTAGCCGCTTTTTCCTCCCCCGGATTTACACAGCAACTCTCGGCTGTCATTCTGAAAGATGGAAATTGTTGACGAGGAAGCTGAGGGGAGAATGGTCAGGTCAGCACCTTGGCTGTGTAAATCTCAGGACTGGATGGACAGACATGCAAAACCTCCAGCGGTGTCTTTGGAGTTCGGGTCGGTGTCGGCCGAAACACTGAACTGTCCATCAAACTACAATGATACCGGCCTGCGATACATTGTATCCGTGTTCTGTCCATTGTTGTATGCGGTACATGTTGTATGTAGTATACATTGCATGCGGTACATGTTGTATGTAGTATATTTTGTACACATTGTATGCGGTACATGTTGTATGTAGTATATGTTGTACACATTGCATGCGGTACATGTTGTATGTAGTATATTTTGTATGCTGTACATGTGGTATGTAGTATATTTTGTATACATTGCATGCGGTACATGTTGTATGTAGTATATGTTGTACATGTTGTATGTAGTATATTTTGTACATGCGGTACACGTTGTATGTGGTACACGTTGTATGTGGTTCATGTTGTATTTAGTACACATTGCATGCGCTACATGTTGTATACATTGTATGCGGTACATGTTGTATGTAGTATACATTGTATGTGGTATGTATCTGCACTGTGTCGCCTTCATGTGTGCAGATTTTTGGGATCCCTCCTCCTCATCCTCCGGAGGTCAGTGTGTGTGTGTGTGTGTGTGTGTGTGTGTGTGTGTGTGTGTGTGGACGGCGAAAGAGGA